GAGCGAGAGAAAAAATGTAGACTTGTAGATTCTTTAAGATGAGAGTTTTTCGTAGACGACTGTGCCCGTAGATGAAAACATCAAGATATCGATAGAAAAAGCGCAGCACTGTAACTGGTCTATTACATCAGAATAATTCTATTAGCATTTACATTAAAGAGTACATTGCATCTGCCGCGTGACCCACAGAGAGTGACTTACCTTCTAATGAATATACCTTGTGCGTCCATTCCCATTTTATTCTCTCTTTCTTGGTGGTTTTTATGAGATGAGAGACAAGCGGACACAGCTGATCGGCTATCCGTGGGGAAGAGGGGAGCGGCGCTCTAGATAAATTAAATCAGCTGAACCATTCTTTCTTCTGTCTCCCATATACCATTCTGTAAGAAAAGGCAACACCGCCAGCACTGGGAGATAAACCAGAGATTCAGAGTCAATACATATTAAAAATCGTTAGCCACTTTATGTATACACAAATTTGTTATTCACTAAAGTAATTGCTATTTATAAGCAATTTAGCATTGAAAAATGCGCGCACACACATGCCCGAAGATTCAGCTGGAATAGTTCTTCAAATGATTCACAATGCAAGAGGGGGTGGGGAGGGGAGATTATTGTTGGGCGTTAAGAAAGTGACAAAGTGACACAGCGAATGCAATTAAATTTAAGTCGAGTAAATGGAAAATTGACTTTTAGTCGATCTTTAACGCCGGAAAGGTATTTATTTATTTTATGTTATAATTTAAAAATGCTATATAGTAGACAATCTTCTTGGGGGTTTCATATAAAAAATTGTATGTTTATGTATCTATGTACATATGTATGTATGTGTAAAATATATTCAAGTCTTTGCATTCGTAAAGCGCATTTATTATCTACATACAAAAATTCCACATAAACACTTGATATTTCGATTATCTTCAATTTTTTTTAATCTTTGTACAAACATTTTGATTGCAAACGAATTTTGAATAACATACATACATATGTATGTCATACATGTATGTAAGAGATTTGTTTGGTTTTTTGCACACTGTATGTACAGGTCCCCGTCTACGCCCTCCCCCACTATAACTTACACACACATCGAGAAGCGAAGCTTTTCTGCCAGTCTCTTGCTGTGGCTGGAGCGAGAGGGTAGGCACATCTAATTGGTTTGCCCGTGGGAGAGAGACATAAGAAAATTTAATTGCCGTCATTACGGTCAGCGGGTGGAGAGGGTGAGCCAAATGGAGGGATAAAGAGAGAGAGAGAGAGCCAAGCTGAGTTTTAAGTTGCATTGAATGAAAATGCTTCCTCTTGCTCCCCCCCTCCCCTCCCGTACCGTAGCTTGGTAGGCAACAAATCAATTTGCGTTCAATTTGGATGCCAGCACGGACACACGACGCACGGATGGCATGGGGGATGCAAGCGGAAGTTGAGAGAGTGCCGACGCCGGCCCGCAGGGCGACACAGGGCATAGATCGTTGCGAGGGAGAGAGATGCGGGCACTTAAATGCAATGCTGTCTGTCTCCCTTCCACTCAATTATTATATCATTGGATCGAACGGTGATTTGGTTGCTGTTGTTGTTGCTCCTGGCAGCAATTGCCGAATCTAGCGACTCCCTTCCTCTGGTTTGTAAACATACCCCTGGAGAGGGTATTATACCCCACCTGCCTGTCTGTAGGCTTCGATGATAACTTTTTCCTTGGGGTTAGCAAGAAGTATATTTATATAATGTATATACTTACATATGTATCGGATCAATCCTATATATCGCATAGCTGCCATATGAACGATTGATCTGCAACGGTATCAAAAGCTTCGATATCCAAAGCCGCGCTTCCTTTCTTGTTTTGTTTCATTTTTGGTGGTTGGGGGGGGGGGGGGTTTAACATTGAGCGATAAATGAATTGACGAATGTCGCACACATACACATGCATACACGAACGACATGCACTGCGCTATGAGGCGGCTCTCTTTTCTACTATCTCTCTCTCTCTCTCTGTTGTTTTATCAAGTCAAAACTCTCTTCCGCATTTCATGCTACGATAAAAATGAATTGGTATGAATGAATTGAACGATGACATTGCAAACAGGGAGCACACACAAACACACACACACACACACACACTACTCACACTCCACATATTACTCGACTTTCCGCTGTCCCCCACGAACAGTTGGTACACTCTCAACTGCAAGGTACATTATGTAGAAGGTATGGGCTTTATGAAAGAGTTGTATTCTGCATCCCAAATATACCTATATATAGATATGTTGCACATATGCACTAAGAGAGACAGAGCAGGCAACAAAATAGCAGGCGAGAGACTGCCCTGCCTTACCTACCTGTTGATAAGCACGGGCCGCCTCAACTCCAACTTATTTCCCTGCACCCACCGCTGCGCTCTATTTCCATTCGTGTGAGTGCGTGCCCGTTAAGGGGGGGAGGGGTGGGGTTTGGCCAGGAGCTGCTGAATGGGTTAAGCGGTATGTGTTGGACAGGGAAGGGGGCGCTTGGAGTTTCAGTGGAAACGTGTTTTCCCACAGGTAGGCTGCGGCAACACTTGGTTTGCTGCTTTCCTTTGTTCATGTTGTTGCTATTTGTGTTGCCCCCTTACCCCTCTCTCTCTAACTACCTTGGGCCAGTGAAGCGCAGGGTTGGCATTGCCTTGCCCATGCTGTTTGTATCTCCCTCTGACATGCGCGCGCGGCGGTGGTGGTGTTGTGGAGCTGGCAAGGCGGCTGGAGCCCTGACATTATCATTTTCGTTGGAAAACTTCGCTGGCCCCCCATTCCCATTCCGATTCCCATTTTCAATTCCATTTCATTTGTATTTGTATTTTTTTGTTTTTTGGTTTTGTTTTATTTGCTTTTTATGTAAATGTACGTGTGTATGTGTGTGTGTGTGTATGTCAGCACTTTTGTTTGTTTCTATTCCAACCTAAACCTCCTCCCCCATTCATTCGATTCCCTAAATGGTTTTGAAGTGCCTTACTGGGATTGGGATGTTGGATGTCCGCACTAAACACTCTTCCACTCTCTTCCAAATATGACTGCATCCCATGATATAATGGATCACAGATCCTGTAGAGCACTGATAATAATAATAATGATATAATGATCAGAACCTGTAGGACACTGCAGTCAGATAACTTTGCAAATGAAAGTGTTCATAAAGGTTTAATATATGTACATATGTACATACAACTGTGCATCATATGTGTTATCAGCACATGCACTTGCACATGCCCACTTTACTTCACTATACAAAGATAGTAAGGAAATCTTGCAGAAAATTACTGATACATAACAATCACGGTTTTAATTCTTAACGAAGACTTACATATGTACTACGTACATACATACATACATACATATGTATGCAGGTACACTCATATTTCTGAAGCTTTTTAAAATGTGGGACTTGGACTACGATTTGATTCAGAGATTGATTGCTCACCGAAAGGTTTTTAACACATATTTACATATGTACATACATAGGTATGTACAAATGTGCATCATATGTGTTATCAGCACATACTCATGCACGTGCCCACTTCACTTCACTATACAAAGATAGTAAGGAAATCTTGCAGAAAATTACTGATACATAACATTGCTCACCGAAAGGTTTTTAACACTCATTTACATATGTACATACATAGGTACATACATATGTATGTATGCATGCAATCGATAAAGTTCTTATAAAATCATCTGGCACCGGCACCCGTGTTGGTTGGAGGTGTACCTCCTTCCAATCCCTTCCAGGTCGCGCTTTACTCACAAAAATCTAGCCCCAGTTTCGTTTATCTTATCTTTCGCGTTACGTGCATGTGAGTGCATTGCTGGAAAGGTTCTCGCACATGTCTGTGCCTGTTGCTTACGCATTGCACTGACTCACGCACACATATGTACATATGTAGCCAACCGCAGGCAGAAAAAAAAGCATCGGGCATCGCACCGCACCGCATCGCACCGCACCGCCCGCTGGGGCGAGCGATAGCCGAACGTGCGTTCGGTATGCGTCCCGGCCCGTCGCGCTCGCCCTCTGTCCCCTACGTGCTCCTCTCCTTCCGCTCTTCGGCTTTATCGAAGGGCAGCAGGTCAATGTGATGGGAAGGGCTCGACATGATTGGGTAGGGGAGAGGAGAGGAGGCAGCCGGTGTTCCAGCTTTGATGCTGCGATTCTGATTGGATTGGAAATGGATTTGAATCGGTCTGTGGATTGAGAGGTGCACCCCCAAGGTGCCGAGGGACTCCCCCATGAGTGAGGATCAAAAGAGACAAAACAGAGAGAGAGAGCAAGAGAATGCATTTTTTTGTAAGTACATTTTTGAGTTAATGACTTTATTTTGTCTACGGAATGGTTAATGATTAATAAAACAATGATTCAGTGGAGTTTTATTAAACGCCGATCACAGGCCACGACGTTATACTGTACATACATAGATACATATGTACATAACTCTTTCTTTTGCCGTAGTAGGGCCCTTCGGCAATCATTTTTATTGTATGGATGATAATATGCTGATGATAAATATAATTAATACTAATTTTAGTTGCTCGGCTACCACAATATGTATTAGTAGCAGTTCATGTGCGTTATCTACATGCATATATTAGATGACGAACCAATCGATTGTACATACAAATGTACACATGTATGTATGTACATACGTTTCAGCGGGTAATTTCTTATAGAAAAACACCTAAAAGTCTTTGTAATTTTGCACTGATTGTGGCTGACACTTAGGTGGGACAGCCTTCACGTTGATCCACTGTTCAAAGTTGTTTGTGGACTTATCTTCGTCGTACACGATAAGGAATGGTTCGGTCGCTATCTTTTGGCGGATTTGCCACCTGATGTGGGATTGGGCTTCTGGAAATTCTTATTTCTAGATAAGTTTTGTTGGGATTTTACATATCTCTATCTTTATCTTCATCCTTATCTTCAGCCATTAATGTGTCTGCTGGGATAATAATTTTCAAATCGCTTCCTCTAATTTGCAGATCACAATCCAATGAACGGCAATTCCTCAAGGACTTTATCAGCGGTGCACCCGGCTCGTCGGGTGCCCGACTGGCGGCCTGGCTGCAGCCAGAGTCCCGCCTGGATCCCAACAAGTGAGTAGACAAGTCCCCCCCACAAATCTCTAGTGCAAAAGGGAATTCCAATACATTGCCATTTGCAGATGCGAAATGAATCCAATTACGGAGCCACTGCGCTACGGCTGGCCCACCCAGGTGACCATCACCATACGCGATCAGTACGGAGATGCTGTCCTCGTGCCCGAGCTAAAGGTGGAGATCAAGGCCATACCGACGGGACCGGGTCCCCATGGACCGGGCGGCGTGGGTGCTGCCAATATCCTGCGCATGCGTCGCGCCTCCTGCGCCTCCACGGTGACGGACGCGTGCCTGGGCGGCATGGCGCCGCCGCCGCGTTTCAACTACGAAGTGACCACCAAGGAGCGGATGTGCTTCAAGGCCATCACCTTCATGAAGCCCTTCACGAACTACTCGTTCGAGGAGCTGCGCTACTCCAGCCCCGTGCAGACGCGCTCCACGGACACGCTCAGCGCCCGCGACATGGAGGATGGCACCTTCAGTGTCCAGTGGACGCCCAATTCCGTTGGCGGCTACTGCCTGGCCGTCATCATCGACGGCATCCATCTGGAGGAGGTCTACCGCGTCGAGGTGAAGGAGGGCGTTCTGCCCCCGCCCACCCAGAGGAGCAGCACGACGCGCCGCCCCCAGGCGCCCAGCAAGCTGCGACGCTTTCAGGTGCGCCACAGCGCCGGCCTGCGGATCCGCTCCCATCCGACGCTGCAGTCGGAGCAGGTGGGCGTGGTGCGGCTGGGCGGCATCATCTCGTTCATCGATGAGATCGAGAACGACGACGGCATCTGGCTGCGGCTCTCCACAGAGTCGATACGGCAGCACTGCACCATGGGCTGGTATCCGACGGAGGCCTGGTGCCTGCAGTTCAACCAGCATCTGGCCAAGGTGCTGCTGCAGCCGGTGCTGGATGCCAAGGATGCTGGTGCCGTGGCGCCAGCCAGTCCCACCACCGGTGGCGGCTGCAGTGGCGAGCCCAGCCCCGAGCCGGAGCCCGAGCACAGTCCCCCACCGAGCCCCGTGCTGCCCAAGTCGCCCGTTGTCCAGCGCAGATTCTTGGGCGGTCCCGTCAACACGAATCCCTTTCTGTTCCCCACCAAGCGGGAGCGTCAACGCGAACGCGAGAGGGAGCGCGAGAGGGAAATGGAACGTGAAAGGGAGCGCGAGCGAGAGAGAGAGCAGCGCGAAAGGGTGCAGCAAATGGAGCCAGAGCCAGACCAGGATGTGGAGGTGGAGGCTGAATTGCAGCCAGAACTGGCAGGAGCGGCTGCGGCTGCGTCTGCGTCTGCCTCTGCGGTTGCACCTCCGCCCGTACCCGTACCCGAATCGGGGCCGGAGCCGGAGCTGGCGGGAGCGGCAGCGTCGTCGTCGTCCTCCTCCTCGGCGGTGGCGGCCACGGAGCTTCTGCCCGCCAATCTCGGCTCCGCCATTGCCGGCGTTGTCGGTGGCGGTGCCATCAGGCTTCAGGCCCTACAAAAATGGTTCAAAGGCGATGCCATCGAGGGAGCCCAGCCCCAGGCACAGGCACAGGCCCACGAGCCCAGCCACATGGATGCATCGTTTTCACAGTCACCGCCCCCGCCCCATGCGGGCGTCTCTGTACGCGAGATGGTGCGGGCCATGGGACAGGAGCCTGCGCCCTCGCCCTCCGGTTCGCCATGCCCATCGATGCGGGGAAATGGCAATCGCAGCAGCAGTCAGCAGCAGGAGCAACAGCAGGAGCAGCAGCAGGAGCAGGAGCCGGAGCCGGAGTTCAATTTGGCCAGCATGCGGCGTCCCAACTACACCGCCAGCCAAACGGCGGCACTGCTGTCGACGCCCAAGCACACGCCCCGTCGAACGGTGGCCGGGGTGGCGGCGGCCGCTGCAGCCGCTGCCGTCCAGGAGGTGGTCTCCGGCCTGGAGGATGATCTCAGTCTGCTGCAGATCACCACAACGACGACGGGCACGGAACAGCAGAGCGAACTCCAGCTGGCCTCCACATCGGCAGCAGCCACAGCATCGGCTTCAGCGGCAGCAGCGTCAGCAGCAGCTTCAGCAGCTTCCGCATCGGCATCGTCCTCGGGTTCAGGCTGCGGCGGATCATCGGGCTCGAGGCGGAACACCATGGGACCCATTAAGCGGGCCATGCCCCCGTCGTTTGCGGAGAGCATTCGGGCCGTGTTCGCGGCACTGCTGTGGCACGAGGGCGTCGTCCACGATGCCATGGCCTGCGCCAGCTTCCTCAAGTTCCATCCCGGCCTGCCCAAGGAGGGGGCCACTGTGGTGACGCGCCGTGGCGAGACGGGCGACGCGCGGCTGCAGCTCTCCCGTGAGCAGAAGGCCCAGCAGCGGCACTCGGTGGAGGTGGCCAATGCGGGCCACTACCTGAACATACGACCCTCCACACTGGAGACGCTCACCAAGAGCGGCAACAGCTCGCTGCACAATCGCAGCAAGCATCGCAAGAACATGTCCCCGCCCGCTGGCGGCGAGGATCAGCAGCAGCAGCCACCCCGAGACGGGCAGCAGCAGCAGAAGCTGCAGGCGCTGCCGGAGGTGGTCAGCGTGCTGCCGCCGGCACTGCGCTGTCTGGTCTATCTGTGGGAGCAAATCTGCTCCGGCTGCGTGCAGATCGTCCAGACGAATGGCCTCGAACAGCCGCGACAGCCGCGCCTGCTCTCGCCCATCCACCACATGGATGGGCACGGCCACGGGCATGGCCATGAGCCAAAGGAGGGCGGCAAGATGGGGGCCGGACACCACATGGATCAGGGGGGAGCGGGTGCGAGCGATAAAGAGGGCAAGAAGACGAAGCGCAAGAAGAAGGACGACGGCAGCTGGTGCGAGATCTGTGAGCTGTTCCTGCCGATGCCCGTCACGTACCACATGCGGATCGCCCATCCGGGCTGCGGCAAGTCGGCCAAGGGCAAGGGCTACAATTCCGTGGGCATATTCTGCGAGGGCTGGGCGGGCAATTGTGGCGAGGGCGGCAAGGGCGCCTCCTCGTGGTTCCTCATGTGCGACACGTGCCGGGACAGGTATCTGGCCAGCTGCCGCAGCACCAACAACATCAATAGTGTGGCACGCGGCCAGGAGGCCAATTCCGCGGAGGGTGAGTAGTGGGCAACGTCCAACCCCCCCCCACCCATACCTGACTAAGATTTCCCTTTCTCCTTCTCCTTCTGCTTGCCAGATAATGTCCTCAATCTGTTTGGCGTGAGATCCACATTGATTGCCAATGCGGAGGTCTACACCACAATGCGTGAGAATGCCACCTTTCTGCTGGAGCTGTGCTCCAGCTTCAGCTCTGCCAGCAGCAGCAACAGCAGCAGCAACAGCATTCTAGCAAAGCGTTCGCCCCAGTCCATGGCCATGCCGGTGGTCATTGAGCATCAGCATCATCATCATCCGTTGGGCGTTGCCGATCTGAAGCCCAGCACCAGTCGCAACAGTCGCATGGCCCGACTCAGTGGCGGCCCCAAGTTCTGTCCAGCGGGCATTGGCGGTGCCTTCCGCAAGAGCTTTGTGGGTGGACCGCCGACGGCGCCGGACAACCTGTGGCTGGCACCCGACAGTTTTGCGTGTCTGGAGTGCCTCGGCACGGCGGGGCACGAGGAGCCGCCCTACGAGATGTTCGGCCTGGGACCCAACGAGAATGCCTTCGATAGGGTAAGTGTCGCCCGCAGCCAGCATCCAGCCGCCAGCTGCCAGCATCCAACGAAATGTTGCTAATTGGAGACCTTTTCTTTTGTTTTGGTTGCCTGCCTGAACAGCCGCTGTCTGAAATATCGTACGAGTCGTGCGATCCCAACAACTACGACATGGGCATGGCACCGGGCACGAGTGCAGCCGCCGCTGGCGCTGTGTCCAAGTTCCATCGCAGCTACTCCATGGGCCAGGGCTGGGCCTCGCTGGTACAGCAGGCAACGCAGGCACCGCAGCAGCAGCACAACAGCAGCAGCAGCAGGCGCCACAGCAGCAGGATACACCGCCAAAGGTGGTGTACAGGCGAAGGAATAACTTGAGCAGCGAGAGCGAAGGCGCCAGGCTCATCTGCTATCCGTCGGAGCATTTGCGGCGTCTGGTGCCGCACAAGCTGCTGGCCAGCGTCACTGTCCTACAGACCTCCACATCGGCCGCCGCCGCCGCCGCAGCAGAGGGCGATGCCCCGGCAATCAGTCCGGGGCCAGAGCAGGGCGGAGCAGGCGGTGCAAGCAGCTCGCTGCTGTCCCGACCGGCCATGGCATTCATTACGCAAAAACACGAGCTGGAACGACTGCGGGCGGCCATGCGGCGCAGCCTGAGGATCTCCGTGTGCCGCAGCTACTCGCTGCAGGCACTCAACTGGCTGCTGCGCAGCGTCACCCAGGGCGTTTGTCTGCACGATCTGATGTGGTGGTTCGTCAGCTCGCTGGAGACGGCCGTCACCCATCTGCCGGACGGCCGATACGAGGAGTCACCGGACATGGCGCTGGAGCACCCGGCAGCCTACACCCAGATCAGTGGCCGCTTTGCCCACCTGATCACCCAGTCGCTGCATGTGCTGCTGCAGTCGGTGGCGGATCTGACGCTCCACCTGCCGCCAGGATCGCCGCTGCAGCGCGTGGCCATCCAGTGCTTTGGCATACGTTTCCGGCAGGCCGACCATCAGTTCCTGCACAGCTCCCATGTCTTTGGCAACATCTCCAAGATCCTGTCCAAGTCGGACGAGCAGAACGATGCGATGGCCGTGTCCACGCTGCTGCTGCTCAAGTCCGAGTCCCACTGCGATGTCGAGCACAATCAGCTGCAGTTGAATGCCACATCGGGCGGCTCTGGTGCCGGTTCCGGTTCCGGTACCGGTGCTGGGGCCGGACCCGGTGGCCGGGTTGTCTGCTACACGGATCTGGCAGGCATGTTCGACATTGCTGTGTCGTCGCGGCCAGCGATGGCCGAGTCCCTCACGGACAACTCCACGGAGACGTTCTGGGAGAGCGACGAGGAGGATCGCAACAAGGTGAAAATCATTGAAGTGTCCCTCATCAGGCTGACATACGCCTGCCGCTTCCTGCTCGTCCACATCGACAACAGTCGCGATATTCAGGTGAGTGAGAGAAATGGGCGGATGGACAGGCCACAGGCCACAGGGCACAAGCCACAGAGCACAGAGCACAGGACTAGAGATTAATGCCATTTCCATTTACACAGAACAAAGTGCTCAATGTGGGCTTCTATGCGGGCCAATCGCTGGGCGATACGAATCTGATCAAGTCGGTGGATGTCGACTCGAAGGCCTGCACCTGGATCTCGGCGAAGATCAATGACGAGAGCTACACCCATTTCCGGCTGGAGCTGCACGGACCCGAGAACACGCTGCGCGTGCGCCAGATCAAGCTGCTGGGACTGCCCATCCAGAATCAGCAGGGACAGCCGGGTCCGGCTCAGTTTCAGACGCTCGGCGAGAGCATGCGCCTGGGCATGGGTATGGGCATGGGCCTGGGTCTGGGCCTGGGTCTGGATGAACCGTTTGGTAGCGAACTGAAGCCCTATCTGCGGCATAGTTATGCGCCGCACATCCAGCAGCAGATCTGCGAGGCGGAGACCCTGCGCGTCTTTCGCCTGATCACCGGCCAGGTCTTTGGCAAGCTGATCAGCAATGTGAATGCGGTGCGCAGCAGTGAGGAGCCGCCACCGGAGGTGCCTGGCCCCGCTGGCGTCAGTGGCGGTGGCGCTGGCGGTGCCGGTGGCAGCTCCCTGCTGGCCGATTCCCTCGACCTGCGCGAGCACATGGTCGGCATCCTGTTCTCGCGCAGCAAACTCTCGCACCTGCAGAAGCAGGTGATTGTGCACATTGTGCACGCCATTCGCCGGGAGGCGCTGCGCGCCAAAGAGGACTGGGAGCTGGCCAATCTCGCCCACGACCTCAGGAATCCCATGGAGGCGGCTGCCGCGGCTCTGCCGGGGCCCCCACTGCAGCAGCAACAGCAGCAGCAGGCTGCAGCTGGCAGCAGCGAGAGCAGCTCGGAGCGTAGCCGGGCCCCGGACACCTACTGCTTCGAGATGCTGAGCATGGTGCTGGCCCTATCCGGCAGCGCTGTGGGTCGCTCCTATCTGTCGCAGCAGCACGGGCTGCTGCGCGACCTCTTGGGACTGCTGCACACCGGCAGCGATCGTGTGCAGCGTCAGGTGACGGCCTTGCTGCGTCGCATACTGCCCGAGATATCGCCGGAGAGCTTTGCGGATCTGCTGGGCGTGCAGCGGCTGCCACCGGCCGACTACAGCATCGCGCATCAGAGCGGCAGCGACTTCGATATGAGCCGACTGGGGCTGCTGGACATATTCCTGGCCGTGATTGCCAAATCCCTGCAGCTGCAGATCAAAGTGAAGACCACAGCGGCAACGGCAGGCGGCGGTGCAGCAGGAGGATCGAGCGGATCAGGCGGATCAGGCCAAGCCCAGCAGAAGCAGGGACAACAGGAGAAGACACCGGCCTTTGTGAGGCTCTGCAGTTCCCTGGACCTGTCCGTTCAGCAGCTGCGCTCGCGCCCACCCACAGGAGAGGCACAGCTGCCGGGCACGTCCGCTGGCGCTGGCGCTGGCAGCGTGGGCGATCCGTTCCAGTTCGAGCTGGCAGCCCCGCCCAGAAAGGAGTCCAAGCGGAATCTCAACCAGCGCTGGTTCCTCAACGGCATCATCTCCACCAAGCAAGCGGAGAGCATTATTGGCCTCATCCGCGATCTGGCCAGCGTAAGTGTGAATCGAGCGATGATTGCCTCTCTCTGAGACTTTTCTTAACCCTAACCCCTCCGCTCCACTTGATTCTGCAGGGCAAACTGAGCGAGAAGTGGTCGCAGACGACCAAGGCGGCCATTGCCGAGTCCGTGCTGAATCTGACGCGACTCGAGGAGATCTATCGCACGCCGGAGCACTGCACCAAAACGGCTACACTGTGGCTGGCGCTGGCCAGCCTGTGTGTGCTCGAGCGCGACCATGTGGAGAAGCTGTCGTCGGGGCAGTGGTCGAAGGTGTGCGACACCCGACCCATGTGCACCAATCACGATGATGGCGAGACGGCGGCCATCATACAGTGCGAGACATGCGGCTCCCTTTGCGGTGACTGCGATCGCTTCCTGCATCTCAATCGCAAGACGCGAGCGCACAAGCGAACGGTGGGTCCAATCCATTGAATTTCCAGTCCCCAGTCCTAATCCAAATCCCCCCTTCTGATTCCAGGTATGCAAAGAGGAGGAGGAGGCCATACGCGTGGAGCTGCATGAATCGTGTGGCCGCACGAAACTCTTTTGGCTGCTGGCCCTGGCCGATTCCAAGACGCTCAAGGCCATGGTCGAGTTCCGCGATGGCAGCCACACGATCATCTCGGGGCCGCAGGAGGCGGTGGGCAGATGCCGCTTCTGCGGCCTCACCGGCAACTCGGGCCTGCTGGAGATCGGCAATGTGTGCGCGGATGCGCAGTGTCAGGAGTATGCGGCCAATTCATGCCTCAAAACGAAGCCCTGCGGCCATGCATGCGGCGGTGTGGTGGGCGAGGAGAAGTGTCTGCCCTGCCTGCAGCACGTGTGCCATGCGCGGGAGAACGAGCTGGCCGAGGAGCAGCACGATCCGAAGCTCACACAGGATGCGGATGATATGTGCATGATATGCTTCGTGGAGGCCGTCTCCTGTGCCCCCTCCATACATGTAGGTGTATCCACCGCGCACCGCACCCCTACAAAAATCCCTAATCGATCTCCTTTCTTGTTTGCAGCTGGAGTGCGGGCACGTGTTCCACTTTCATTGCTGCAAGGCGGTGCTGGAGAAACGCTGGAGCGGCCCACGCATCACATTTGGCTTCTCATTGTGCCCCATCTGTAAGGCGGATATCCATCATCCGCTGCTGGCCGACATACTGAAGCCCATCAATGCCCTCAAGCAGGATGTGAAGCGCAAGGCGCTCATGCGGTGCGTAGCCCATGCCCCATGCCCCATGCCCCACATTCCAATCAGTATTTTCATTACCTCGAATCATTGCAGCATCAAGTACGAGGGCGTGGTCAAGGACACGGAAAGCAAGGACGTGAATGTGACACAACTGGCCATGGATCGCTATGCGTACTACGTGTGCTTCAAGTGCCAGAAGGCCTACTATGGCGGCGAGGCACGCTGCGATGCGGAAATCGGCGAGAAGTTCGATCCTGAGGAGCTGGTGTGCGGCGGCTGTTCGGATGTGGCACGCGCCCAGATGTGCCCCAAGCACGGCACCGATTTCCTCGAGTACAAGTGCCGCTACTGCTGCTCGGTGGCGGTGTTCTTCTGCTTTGGCACGACACACTTTTGCGACACCTGTCACGACGATTTCCAGCGGCTGACCAACATACCGAAGATCAAGCTGCCCCAGTGCCCCGCCGGGCCCAAGGCCAAGCAGCTGCTGGGCGATGAGTGCCCGCTGCACGTAATGCATCCGCCCACCGGCGAGGAGTTCGCCCTGGGCTGTGGCGTTTGCCGCAATGCCCAAACATTTTAGCCACGGACAAATATTGAGTCCGATCCAGAGCCAGAGCAAGAGCCAGAGCAAGAGCCAGACTCACTGGAGTACGAGGATTCGGATGACTCCGAGACAGAGTCGCCCGGTTATTGGTGCACTGGCCTGGAGGATGACTCCCAGACATATTTGTAGATGACGTTGGATCGTAGCCACCCCCCCATAATCGCCCATATAGCTCCCCCACGCCCCTACCCAATAATTATCCAGATATTGGTGTCTACATATAAAGGAATGACAATTAAAAAAAAACACGGACATGGATATGGAACCGGGACACGGAGTCACATCTGCATACCGGATAGAAAATGATATTAACTATGGGATATGGGATGGTCATAATCAAACTTAGAACAGAAACTGAAACCCCTCTGATAGCAAACTAACCAAAATATGAATGAGCAAAAATAAACAAACGCAACGGAACGGAACTGAACGGAATGGAACGGACATGGAACGGACATGGAAATGGATCATCAAGACGGTTAACCAGAGTTGTATGCGGAACACAGACTTTGAAGCAGAGACGGATACGGATACGGATTCGAAGACGGATTTTCGAATCCGCTGAATTGATATTATCTAGGATAGCATATTACGGTTAGGAGTTAGCGAATAATACGGATACTGGATAAATGGTTAATGGTTAATGGATAATGGATAATGGATAGCGAGCGGTATGAGAGTATAGCGGAAAATGGTTACAATATTTCCATGCAATATTATTTCTAATACTCAAAATTGTCCAACGAAATTGAAACTTTATATTCTTTTTCACTGATTCGGAGGAAAAACAAAAACGGAGAACGAGAGAGAGAGAAAGAGAGAGAGAGTTAGAGAAATGCGTGTGGGAGAGAGAGAGAGGTGTGTACAGAATTCTCCTGCTCCTACTCCTACACCTTACCCTCAAATGAATTTTGAACCCTATGCTCCCCCTCCTCCCCACCTCCTCCCTGTCCACTCCTCCACGCACCTTTTGCGGCATATATTATAAATTAATGGAAATAAATAAATAAATACAAATATATATTATATATTTATTCTGAATGTATTTACGAGCGTATTCTGCATGTGGCAAGCAACAGATGCAAAATTAAAATCAATTCTGAATGTACAAATCTTTGGCAGATTTTTATTTGGTACTTCGACGTTTGTGTGTGCTCCTGACACTCCTCTGGATATGAGGATGGGTCGGGCGGATCGTGGCGGATTGGACTCCTGGACTGCTGCAGGACGCCAGTTGGCATTCAAAATGGAACAGTCGTAGACGACACGGCCCCAAGCAGCGCCATCTGCTGGTATTACATGCATTCTACATGGGCAGATGGCGCCATTGTATATAACGACAACTAACAGTTTGAAATCAGAAAAAAAGCAAAAAACCAAAAAAAATCAAAATTTAACAAAAAGGGAATTAATTTATATGTACATATGTATGTATTGTATGTATGTATTGTATTGTATTTGCAGGGTGACTGCACAGAAACTGTTTAGTATGTGTGTCGCAATTGTCGGCGTTTAATTATGCGGTTTTTGTGCTGACCCATTCCCATCCCATTCCCATTCCCATCCACCATGCAGCACAGTCCACAGTTGCTTGATTGCTTGCTTGCTCCATACCATCATAGCACTCAGCACCATCTCCGATATCGTAATGCGTGTTGCAGCATTACATTGCTATGGTGCGGCATTTGCCGAATATTTGCCAATGGGACGACAGTGTTGCCACATTCCAATTTGTCACATGAAAGAGGTAGAAAAAAGGGCTTACAACACATATGGCTCAATATTTATATGTATATCTGATCTATAATTTGGATAAATACTGCATATGTGTAGAATACGAAAATAAAGCAAAAGGCAGCATTTTTTTTTTCCTTTATTTTTAGTGGTTTTTCTGCGCTGCTTGCACATTCTAAAACCTTTGTGGGTCATATATTCTTTGCCGGAATATAAGTATATATGTATAAATACATACCATACATACATATGTAGCTCCCTTGGGCTTCGACCAAATCCGATCGAATAGTAGCTAAGATTCGCGGGGTGTTACTGGGCTTCATTAAGTGCCGCTGCGTCTAAGTGTTTTGGCTAATTGCATTGGCAAATGATTTAGCAGCAAAAAGCTGAACTTTGTTCATCAAAGGTCGCTGGTGCCAAGAACGTCTGCTGCGTACTATGATCATAACTCTGTAAATTCACGAATTTGAATGGAACTTGAAGCTTTTTTTTGATTGGTCATTTAACACCTGTCTCGGATTTATTTGAGGTTATGTGGCTGGTACGCCGGTGCGCCGGTGCGTCAATGTTCCACGTTTTCAAGGTCATGTGTGCGACCAGTTTACAGCTCCATTAAATGGTCGCTAAATAACATGGTAATGCGATCCACCACGACCACTTAAGACGACACTCCATTGTTGTAGACGTGACCGCGACGCAGAGGGTATTACCCCAGGCAGGGCGGGGAAGCAACTTCGATCTGCAAAAAGATATATATGTTCTTGCTCAGGATCGCTATTGCCATTTATTCATTGCTTTCCGTACATTCTTTGGGTCTTTTATTTTATATTTTTCTCTTTCTAAGACTCCAAAATTTTTAGTTTCGGCATGAAGCAACTAGATAGAACCAAAATTGTATAGCCACATATAACTACATAGAAAAATCAACGGTTAGGGTATGTATGTGGTCGACATAGCCTTTCTTTCTTTTAATGTCGTCTACGCGTTCTGCACAGCAACAACAACAGCAAAAGCAACAACGAATGCGATGTATCGATGTCTCTGCTTCGTTCGCTTTCGCTGCTGCTTCTTCTTTTTGACAGTTTTTCTTTTGCTTTTGTTTTAATTCATGTTTTTGTTTCTTCTTTTAAATAGTTTAACTTGCGAAACACGTACGCCGGACCAGACCAGAGCAGCCAGCCAGCCAGCCAGCAGACAGCAGCGGCGGCGGCGGCAGCGGCAGCATAACAAGTGGAGCGCAGCGGTTCAGTTGCCGAAAACTGTTTGCCAATGTCGCGATAAAGGCTGTGAAACACTCCCACAAATGGCCTGGCCCTTAGGGAGAGGGCCCCCACGTAGAACAGGGTGGTGGGGGGCGGCGCTTGACCTTCTGACACCACGAGGAGTTGTTGCACAATCCACCGCACGGGGAATAATCAACAGAAGAATTGAAGAGGCACACGAACACACACATATACTAATTTACATGTGTATGTATGCTGGTATGTATGTATGTATGTATGCGCAGCCATGCTTCGATCCACAGAGTTCGAACAGAGGGCCGCCGCCGCGTCGCCCTGCACACTGTAAGCAGTGGCGAAGCAGAGCAGCGTCAGCGTCAGCGTTAGCAGAGCCAGCAGACAGCAGCCCAGAGACTTGAGGAAAGCCCCCAACCGAAACCCAATCAGAAATCAGTTGCAGTCGCGAATTAGCGTCGCACAGGTGCGCCCTCTCCAGTGCTCTCCAGCGAAACGGAACTTCGAATCGGCACAGAACTTTGAAACTTCGAAACTTCGATCGAGCAGCTCTGGTTACATACACATACATACATACATACGTAACGGAACATGGTGCACAAGAATCAGGAAAAGGATGAGGATCAGCTGATGGTACAGCGAGTGCTGGAACTGCAGGATTGGACCAAGACACAGTCGCAGCTACCGCCGAATATATGTGAGTGCAAAATGCAATCAGTTGCATAACTGGCTTCCAGCGCAATTGCCTCCTTGCCCTAACCCTCGCTCCCTCTCTCTCCTCACTCTCTTTTCTCTGTCTCTTGCAGCATGCACGTTGCTGCGCCGCTTTTTGCACACAACGCGAGGCGATTTGGCTGCCACACAGCGCCTGATGGAGCACAATTATGGACTGCGCAACAAGCATGCCCAGATCTTCATTGAGCGCGATCCGTTGGATGCCAGCTCCCAGCAGCTGTTGCAAGTGGCGTGAGTACTCGCAAAATTGCATGGGATGGATCCAGGCCCAGGCCCAGGCCCATGCCCCAGCCCCATGCCCCAGCCCGACAACCGGTTTAGCTGCTGTCATTGCTCTCCCTCTTTCTCTTTCTCGCTCTCTCTCTCTCTCTCTTAGCGACCTGGTGCCACTGCCCGGACTGACCCCGGAGAACAATAAGCTGCTCTTTTACCGACTGATTGACTTCGATGCGGACAAGGTAATCCCAAAGCAGCACAGCACAGCCACCCACTCCGACTGCAACTCGTGCACCATCTTTTCACACAGTTCAACTTTACGGCCGGCATCAAGGTCTTCTTCATGGTGGCCGACTGCCGCTTTGCCACGGAGAACGACACGCGAATGTCGGACGGAGAGATACCCATTTTCGATATGGCCGGCTATACGCTGCGGCACCTGACCAAGACGGTGCTCAGCTCCCTGCGGGTGTACATGAAGTTCGTGCAGGAGGCGCATCCCGTGCGGCTAAAGGAGGTCCATGTGCTGAACTGTCCCTCCTATCTGGACAAGGTGCTCACCGTGGTCAAGCCGTTCATCAAGAGCGAGGTCTTCAAGCTGATTCACTTCCATTTGCCGAATGCGGAGACGCCCTTTAAGCACTTTCCGCGCTCCATGCTGCCGGAGGAGTACGGCGGACAGGCTGGCAAGATGTCCGAACTGAAGCAACAGTGGATGCAATTGCTCAAGGAGCAGCGGTGAGTGTGCGCCTCCCATCAACATCGTCTTTTCCCCACTTTCTATCTTACTTGTACGCTGGCTTCTGCGCTCAGGGACTATCTGATGGATGGCCAGAACTGGCAGTTGAACAAGGCCAAGAAGGTGTCCAACAGCAGCAACAGCAGCAGCAACAGGCGATCCAGCACATCTACCGCCGCCTCGGTTGCGCATGGTCTTAAGAATCTGGAAATTGATTAGCCACCGAGGGCGCAACTGTACCTACACAACATAACCTACATATCCATACAACATATATATATATATACTTTTGTTTGTTTTCATGCCACATCCCCACCCCCCAAGCTGTGCTCGGGTCTTTGTAAATATACATAAATATTATTCGCATGTATGTGCTGGCAAATCTATAACCAAAGCTCCAGCTATATCCAGTACATATGTACTATGTGTGTGTGTGTGTGACACTCCATTAACGCATAGCCAATGGACTGCGCTGCTCCTCGATTCTCCCACGCCATTTTCATAATTGAATTCCCCTTGAAAGCTTTCATTGTGCACTCGGCGGTTGCGGCTAGGCTGTTCTGGGGCAGGACGAGTGGGCGGAGTGGGCGGAGTAGGCGGAGTAGGCGGAGTGGTCGAAATGGGCACTCGCACAATTTTCAGTTTTGATGCAGCAACATAATCTCAATCAATATGGAGATGCCTGTGGATGCCTGGCAAATGCAATTAAGTGTCCACAGAGAGCCACGGCAACGGGGCACAGCACAGAGAGTGGCCACAGGGTGTGGCATGCACTGAGAGAAAGAATAGTTGCATAGCTCTCTGAATTGCTATCCAATTTACCTAAGCCTACACCTGTGGCTCTCTCTGTGCTGCTGCATCTCCTTACCTTACTTAATTCCACTCGTCAGGATTGAGAGACCCACTTGAAGCTCTCCCTTTCAGTGGCGGTGCACTAAGCTGGCGCACATCCATGTGAAGAGGGGAAATTTGTGCAAGTGGAGCACCTACCGCAGTCACAGCCACAGCCACAGCAGCAAAGCAAAAGCAAAAGCAGGACAGAGGACAAAGCAGGACACTTGTCAAATAATGCGCATATCGACACATCCGCATGCCTGCCACTTCCTTTCTCTGGAATCTGGCTGAAGTACTGCCACAGTCTGCCTTTCGTAATCAGAAATCTGCACAGAATCTGCCCGCCCACACATCATCATAGACAACTAGAATGACTTGTGGAACTGTGCTGATGACGTCTCTAAGTGTGGCTCTGAAAAGTAAACCAAAGTGGCTCTATGCACACCTGGAACCCAGAGACAGCGCTTTCACTTTGAACCCCAAATTAGATCAAAATCAAATAAAATTCCACTCAAAATTGTTTGGTTTGGTTTGGTTGGGTTGGGTTTGGCTGGTGATCGGTGTGTGTTTTTATTTGTGTGCTGTGAGAACAACCGACTGACTCAACTTTGGGAAGCTCGTCTCGTCTCGTCTTGTTCTCTTGGGATGGAGCCAATATTCAAGGATATTTGTGTCGTGTCTTTAGCTGGCTTATGGATTGATACAACTGCTGAATGGTGGCATTAAATGAAATGGTATTATGGTGATTTCTTGACTGGGTTGGCTATTGGCTATTGATTGAATTTAAATTCAAAATAAATATTATGCTGGATTTAGATGCGCATTATGGTCGTTCCCTGTGGACTAATGTTGAGGATTGGTGGGTTTGATTTCGAGTAAATATTGTGGCGGATGAGGACGTCCTTAAAGTATGGCTCTATTGACCACACTAAATGGATGCCTGAGGTTTGGTTTGGTAGCTAAGCTTGATCTTCGCCGCTCTGGGACTTTTTCAATGAAAAGTTGCTGCGGACCTTTTCCACGTCCCAGTCCCTTTTGGAGAGTATGGAAAGAGCCAGGGAATCGTACATGCCCAGATCCTTGAGGGCTTGGATCTTTGCAACGAACTCGGGAATGCTGTTGGGTCCGCTGGCATATCGGTGGGTCCAGTGCTTGGCCGTGAGCACAAACAGCTCCTGCTTCAGGATGTACTGACGAGCCACGTCCTCGTCGTAGGGTGTGTCCATATCCGGCTTGGCTATGAAATTCTTGACGGCCATCAAGGTGCTCCGGATCGACATGTCGGGCGACCAAGTCTTGCCGAGTATGTCCAGCTCGATGGCGCCCGATTCCGGCGAAACGTTCGGATGCCAAATACGCGTCCGAAATTCCACCTTCGGTGGCTCGACCGGATACGTATCCGGCACGATGATCCGCACAACGAACACGCCACCCTCGTACGGAGAGCCCGGTGGTCCCTGAATCTCGGCGCATAGGTTCGACCATGACTCGTCGATCAACCAGAGCTTAAATCCACGCTCCGCGGTCTCTCCGTTCACGCTCCTCATGTGCATAGCCGTGTTGATCTCTCGCTGGACACGGGCAGCACCCGTATTCGACCACATGGTCGACCCTATGGCCTGAATTGGAAATTCAAATTGAAATTTAAATTGCAAAAGTTTATTTTCATTTCACTTACGGACACAAGATCACGAAGATGATATTCGCTGTACTAGCTATGGGTGTAGATGTTTTCAAACTGGTCTGTTCCCTCGTTGATTGCTCTAGAATGTTCAACTTTGAATAGGTTAACGTCGGACTCTGCGAAGCTTATAAATATTCTGGAAATCTAACTATCAATAATCGGGATTATTTTTGAGGATTTCTCTCTGTTGAGATTGTTTATGACAACAGAGAGAAACAATGTATGCAGGAGGGACATTGAAAACTTGTTTAGAAGAGTGTACAAAAAACTTTTTAGTCCAGTCTTCCCCAAAGAGATCCAAAAGTTTGAAATTTTTAATTTTTTTTTATCTTTTCTTCCGTCATATATAGTTTGGATAAGTTAATTGGGTTAATTTGGATAAGAATCTGTATCTGAGCTGCACTTAGCATCGTATTTTAAATTAGTTATTTGAGATTTTTAAAAATTTGAAAAAATCTTTCCTCTATTTTACAAAATGCCAAATCGGGACTTGTCTTTTCAATTAATTAAACTTGCTTGATTAATTTCACTTATCGCGCTGATTTTTGTATTTGAATAACTTGAAATGCCTCTTAATATACATTTATTTGGGGTTCATTTGAAAAAAAATGAAAATGATTTGTCTCTCACTGATTTATTTTGTTCTGGCACAACTTACTTATGAAGTTATGTCGCAGACTGTACAGGTCTTCACCGGGTGAAAGGTACTTCAGCAATGTTTCGTGCCTCCAATTCTCGGAATTGACACGGCTAGAACGCAGTGTTGGTAAACAGCTGTTAGTGTTGGCAAGCAGGGCAGAAGGGTGTGTGTGCGTGTGTGGTATGGTGCGCTGTATGAGCGCACATTTACTGTTCACCATGCGCAGATAGATTGCATAACTGACTCCCAACGCAGCTAACGGCTTCTTGAAATTTAGGTATGCGTTGTCTCCCCTGTTCTACCCTGCCAAATAGCGTCAGCTCCATCCTCCATAGCCCACGCCAGGGCATGAAGCTTTTTACTCCTCCTGGGTATCCTCCTCCTCCTGGGTATCCTCCTCCCACTGGGTATCCTCCCCCTACTGGGTATCCTCCCACCTCCTTATATGTGTATCATCCTCCTGCTTTCAATTGAATTGCCTTTGTTTTCTGTGCACCAGATACACGTACATCTTTATCCATCGATTTGACAGCATTTAACGACGACGCTGGCACTGATCCGCCAGTGCTGCGTGCGTGCCCAGAAATGTGGCACTCCCCCTTTACAGGCACCCACTCTTCTTGTATCCGTATCCCGAACGTCACGCGACGCGATGCGACGCGCAGTGGAGTGGAGTGCATGGAAGTGCATGACGGTAATCGAATTATGTGGCAACTCTGCTTGTCAGCAGGTTGGGGAGACCTTGAAACCGGGGCTGCAAAGACGGGGACGAAGCGATGAGAATGCGTTGGATTCGAGTGTGGCTGGCAGGTGGGTTCGGTTTTCTGGCAAGTGAGTGCTCTGACGTTCATTGTGGCATTTTCAATCCAATCCAATCACCTGGCTGTCATCCACAGACATTGTTGATCACGCCTACACTCCTGAGATGCGAGCCGCGTGCAGGCTCCAGTCCCCGGAATGACGCTGATACGCTGCCAAAATTTTCCATTATAATTCGAGTGCAATGTGACGAACGCTTCAATGGATTCTGCCACCATTTACATAAGCAGGCACATGCAATAATCGTGACAAGAAGCAGTTGAATATCCTTTAAGATGCTGCAGGCAAAATATTTTAATCGCACATTGAATAAAGTCAATGGCGCTGAAAATTCCAAGCTTATTAATTATTAAATATTGATTGGAAAATTGTACCACTTTATATACGAGCTATACATGCATACATACATACATACATATGTATATGTAGGTGTCTACAAAGAAATGTGTGTAAAGTATTTTTATTTTTCAATTTTTAATTTAGTTTTTTATTTTAAATATTTAACGACAATTATTCACATTTGAAGGCATTTTCTTTGGCAAAAAAAAACCATTTCATTTGAAGCCAAAAAGATTTCTTCAAAATATAAACCTTAAATCAAGCCATCAGAGTTATGTACATACATACATACAGTGATCTGAACTTACATACATACATATGTATCTATCTACATATGTACATATATGTAGCATAAATGCATCTGCGTAAATAAGATCCTGACGGATTATTTGGCATGCAAATTAAATTACAGAATGCCCCCCAAAAAGACCTTACCAGGGGGAATGTCCATCCAAAGCTCCCACATGCAGCCAGTAGCTTATCATCCGCTTAGTTGCAGCACGTCACACAACTGCACCCCTGCACACACACACACACACACACAGCTCGCAGCTCGCAGCTCGCAGCTCTGTGGCAGTGGCAGTGGCAGTCAACCCTTCAAATGCATTATGACTGGCCGAAAACAATTAGAGGCGTTTGAACGATGCGATGGCCGAAACAAGCGGATGCCCAGACACTCGAACACAGTCGCTTAGCCCACTTTTGGTCCCAACCTCATCGCTTAGTGCCCATTTCTCTTGCATACATTGCACACACACACATGCATATACGCACACACACATACACACACACACACATACACACACACACCTCATCACGAGTAGGAAAAAGGTGGAGTATGCGTCTTTCCAGGTGGAAAGTGCGACTATTAAGTCGCAGGACTATCTTGGCGTGATGCTGGACAACCGACTGAGCTACCGTGCCCACCTCGAGACCAGAAAAGCCTCCAGGATGCAGGCAGCCCTGTCGAGGATTCTCCCCAACATTGGGGGTCCAAAGGCAGGCCGGGGGCTACTCCTGTCAAGAGTAGTGGCCTCGATCCTGTTGTAGCTGCGCCGGTGTGGTCGTCAGTCCTAATCGCAAAGCCTCCGAAAGAAGCTGTCAGTGCCCTCAGGCTCTGCGCTCTTCGAGTGGTGTCCGGATTTAGGACGGTGTCGGATGATGCTGCCCTGGTCCTCGCGGGTATGATACCGGTGGACATCCTAGCGACGGAGATGACGCAGCTATACGCAGAGCGCCCGGAGTCAGGAAGAACGGCAGAGACCATCCGAGACTGCGGCAAGACTGGCGTCGATAGCAACATGGCAGGCAAGGTGGAACACAGCCACTAATGGACGATGGACCCACAGGATTGTTCCAGACATCGAGCCATGGATGGCGGCGAATCGGAGAGGTGAGTTATCACCTGACCTCCTGACGGGCCACGGAGGCTACAGGAAGACCTGCACAGGTTTAGACACGATGACACCCCCGGTGTCCCGAGTGCCCGCATGAGAGCGAGGATCCGGAGCATGTGATTTACCACTGCACGAGGTACCGCCCAAGAACAGGGTTCGTCCCACCACCAGAGGAGCTGATGGCCTACATGACGGAGTCCGAGGATGGAAACGCCTGCGACACCCTTGTAGGCATCCAGAGCGATCTGAGAAGATGCGAAAGGGAGCGACGCTTGGCGGAGAGTGCCTAAGATAGGCAACCCATCCCCGCGAAGTAATACTTTGCGGTGAGAAAGGGGTGCGTAGCTGTGTGTGGTGAGTTTAGCTGGGAAGCCCCGAGGGGTGTCAGTTCGTTGACTGGTACGGGCCAGTCACACTTTAGAGCCCACCCACCATGGCGTATCCATGGAAAAAAAAAAAAACACACACACACACACACACATTTTACCCGGGGGTGGCCAAAAGTGCTGTAAGAGACCTGACACCAAAATTGATCAATTTTACATTTAACCACAAGAATCGTAAATGTTACAGCAAGTGCAGCGTGTGGGTAGGTGGTTGTGGGTGGGTGGCTGTGGGCGTGGGCGTGGGCGTGGCATGGCGACCCCATTAACATGCTCGAGCCACTCTCGGCCAGACAACAGACACCAACAAAAAAGCTTACGCTGCGCTTTGGTCTGCCCCTCCCTGCGGACCATACCATCCCAGCCCTGCCCAGTCCTGCCCTGCCCTGCCCTGCCCTAACCAGGGCTCGTCTGTCGCTTCGACAATCTGCATTTTCCAGGGTACTTCTTAGTTGTTCTACTGCTACCCTTTGGCAGCGGGTATAGTGCTTGAAGCTACAACTTTGCAGTGCTGAGCATAAAGGGTTTCCGTACCCAAAAGGCCCAAAAGGAGTGCTGGGATGGGAAGAAGATGGGAAGGGTATCAATCAGGTCGGTTCCCCAAAGCACTTGGCTACTGCTGTGGGTGGGCAGTCGAAGCAGATACATAGATGCAGCTGCAGCTGCAGAAGGTAAAGGAGAAGGAGAAGGAAGGTAACGGAGAACCCAAAAGAGAAGCAATGGGCGAAATGTGCAGTCAACAATGCATTGCAATGGTGTGGTGCTTCTTCTCTCCCTCTCTCTCTCTCTCTCTCGCTTGTGTGTGGGGAGTCCAAAGTGTATTAATGTAGGGTGAATCAATGTTATATGTTGATATCTGTCAGTTAAATCGTAGATACTGCTCTCATATTAGCTTACAATGAGACCAATAGAGAGGCTGACCAATTAGCTTGCCACTCGAAGAAGAGTGTGGCATACCTTACCCTACATTAATATGCCTTTGTGTGTGTGCTGGAACTTCTCTGTTTGTTGGTATGTATAAGGTCCGACATGTTGTTGTTGCATGCTCGTTGTCGTCGCAACACCCTACACACACACACACACACACACACAAGCAGACACAATGGGACATACACATTCATACATCCATACATACATACATATGTACATATATATATGTATGAGGATATGGAAACATTCGGCGGCAGCGTGGCAGCGTCGCTGTTCAGTTGACTGATAAGTTCAGTTGGCGTTCGCTTGGCGCCGAGAGCGGTTAACGGTTCTAATCGAATTCAGCCCCGAAACAGTAACAGAAGCAGCGAACGAAGTGCAAAAGGCGAACGAACGAACGAACGAACACAAGCGAAAAAAAAAAAAACAGAAAGAAGTAAATGGGAGAGAGGGGAAATGACTTACGTCGTCGTTACTGTCGTTACTCTTCGCTGCTCGCTCACTCACTCTCTCTCTCACTCTCTCTTCCTGTCTCGCTCTCACTCTCATACCCACAAAGATGTGCTACATTTTCGGCTTATCCCGTAACGATTGTGGGTTTTCTTCCTTGTTTTTTGTTTTAGTGCAAGAATTCCAGCGGCAAAACCCCGAAAAAGTATGCCACGAATTCCGAGTGCAGTTTTTGGCCACAATCATTCTGCGTGTGTGCCAACGTGTGTTATATACATACGCATACACAGTCGTATGTATATCCACCCACATGTGGATGGATGGATGTTCAATGGAACAATGGGTGAACCTGGGTTCAATTATATAAGCCAGCTTGTTACCGGGCGACTCCATTTTGGGGGCTAGTCCACTGAAATTAGCATTCACGGCTAAGCGGTAGCTGGTAGGTGGAGTAGCTCTGGCCAACCAAGGAATTAAATAAGTGCAGGGATAAACGGATGAACGTACTTTAAGAGTTAATGGAAAACAAATATGGGGAGTAAATTATTCTATGGGATGTTTGGGGGCAAAAGTGAATATCTAATAGCCCACAATTTACATCTAACACTATTTAATGTGCATTATGGCACATACAAATTAAGTGATATTTGTATTTTCGGCTAAGAAGATTTGATTCATGGATAGAATGGGTCGGAGCGGAACGATTAATCGTATATATATTTAGTAATATTTATTTATTTATTATTATTATTGCTCGAACAAACTTCCTGCTCACATTTGTATCTATAATTCAAACACAGAATGAGAAGCTTGAAGATTCTGATGGATGCACAAACAAGTTCTGCCGATCTGCAGCAGTTATTTGGCACTCCATGGGTCCAAATTGATTGCCAAATTAAACAAAAGATTGATAGTGGAATGTTCTCCGAGAGATTGCATTAATCTTTCCCTCTGTTTTACCCACAGAGCCAAGTGGAGAGTGTTCTAAAAGTAAAACTAAATGAATGCATCTCTGCTTTGGTGTATTATTTGGATTTGTTGCATTATTGTTGGGTGTGTGTGTTGTATCGCTGAGGGAAAACTGCGAAAATTCCTTTCAGTTCTCGTACAATTATTGAACGGAAATGGCCCAGAAAGTGCCCTTCCAGGATCGACTTTCGGCTCATTCCACACACGCATCTTGTGGTGCGGTAGTTGCCATTAATTGGATAGCCCCCAGCCAATGCAATGGAATAACCCTAATGTCTGTTCCCCGTTCGCGTCCCCGTCGCGTCACCTTCTCTATTCCCCTTTGGCCTACTGCCGCCTGTCTGTGTGTGTGTGTCATTACTTAACACCTACAGTCATGGCAGTCGGCACGCCATTACACTATTACAGCAACAATAACAGCAGCAGAAAACTAGCCTCAGGGTCCGAAGGTTTGGATACCCTCGCAGATCCATGGTTTCAATGTGTTCATCCGATATTTGGTAGAAGCATCAAATAAACAGGAAGGGGGGACAGTCACTATGGCTGCTATAAAATATATTTATTCGATCTGTGTAATTTTGAAATACATTCCAAATGATCGAGAATATAAATCACGCATATATAAATAGTAAGTATAAGAATTCTGGATGCGATTTGAATATTAATGGATCCACAAAAATTAATACCCAGTGCCAGGGTAACGCATAAGAAGGAAGAGCTCTGTTGCTTGGTTGGAAGACGGAAGGGTTGGGGCTGCTAGGGCTTTGAACTACCCCCAAAATACTTTCAGTCGAGCGACCATATTAGTCATCTTCCCCTTCCCACATTCCTCCCTCTTTCTCTCTCTCTCTTTCTCGCTTTTCTATTGCATGCTAATTCCCTACTGCCATTCGTAAATT